TCATGTTTTGCATGCCTTAATTCGTTTGACGACGCGCCCCTCGAGAGTACTGGAGCATTGGACCGATCACCGATGGCCAATCAATCGTTCCTTCCTGCTTTGCCAAAGGTGGCTCAAAAAATAATTTCCCTAGCCCATGTATCCTATCGACATGAAGGATGGGGCTTTGTCAGGTGTGGTGGCGTTCGCGTCGCCCGAGCCACAGAACGGCGTCGTTTTCTTACACAACACGCTGGTTGCCGCGGATTGTTACATGGTACAATGATGGTTTCGACACCGTGTCTTGGCATAATTTTTTGTTGTCGTTTGTGCCCGCGCACACGAGGCTACCTATAGGTCCCCTTACGTTTAGGAACCGTTCAGCTTGGATGGAACAAGGGGCGGGGGCGGGGGGGCGGGGGGTGCTGCGGCGCTCGTGACGATCATGACCCATGATCGTGATGTATCGCCACAGACCTTCCGACCTTCCCACCCCTACTATTGTGTGAAGTTCACGTCGACTGTTCTTGCCTGCGTACCCCCTCCACCCCTCCCCCACGCCCCGAAAAATGCGGCGTACATGGACAGGTCAATTCACACGTACGTACATGATATTTAAACCACCAAAAGCAAGCGGTCGGGAAGAGGACCGCTCGCCGCCCAAGCGCGACCAAGAAAGGCGCCGGAAAAAAGAAGAGGTAAAACAGACCGCCGCCGATACATGAAATTAGTACCTCTTGAAACCCTGGTAGATTTCTACGAGGCAGCGCCCCTGTTCGGCGTCGTTGTTGAGCATCTTGTGGTACTCCGCCAGGGTGAAGAGCCAGTCCGCGCGTTCCTTCGGCAGCTCCGTGCTGTAAACATGAACATCAACGTTAACCGTTAAACGTTAACGTAAATATCAACATTAAAACATTGACGATAATATCAGCAAACTAACATTAACGTTAAGACTAACACGTCAACATCAACATTAATGTTTACAAAAGTAACGTTCACAAACGCAATGTTTACAAAAGTAACATTAATTAACGTTCATGTTAACACACAAAGAGGAAAATAGGTACCAGAGGGACAAAAAAGCAAAAGGAGGCATGGATTAATATTTATTGCGAAGAGTATTTTGTTTCTTGTATTTCCTCATCTTTCGTTCTGGAGAGGACAGGTAAACCGAGAGAGCGACTTGCACGTGGGGAAAACGAAGAGAGAAGAGCGGGCAAGGTGCGTTGGCGTTGGCAGCGAGCTGCGCCAAGCAAAACGAGAGTTCGCCATAACGCACGGCAAAACGAGAGTTCGCCATAACGCACGGCACAACGAGAGTTCGCCATAACGCACGGCACAACGATGCACGGAGGCTTCTTCGAGGGATGACAAATCTAAATGGCATCAACACCCATGGAAGCACAAACCCTACTGAGGCCTAAGCAAGCGCGGAGAACGTAGTCTCGTTTCTGATGGGCGCATACAGCCTGACGTGCACCTGCTGGTGAGAGGCACACTTTGCTATTGCATTTTCCGCCACGCCAAAAGCCCCGTGGTACATGAACAGCTCAACTGCGTCTTCTCAAGACGTTGGTTGCCCTCGCTGATATGCCCCTCCCCGACTGCAACACCCCCTGTGCAGCGCGCTGCAACAAAAGCAAACAGACACATATACACACGCACCTATCGTCGAAGCTGACGGCCCTGACCGCTACCCATTCTCCCCCGACCACACGAAAAATCGCGCTGCAGAACACGCACACTTTTCAAGACGCTGGCGACGTTGGTGTGACCCTCGCTGTTATCACTCACCCTATGCAGCACACCGCGAAAAACACAACACACACACACACACCTGTTGAAGACGCTGGCGGCCTGCATGAATATCTCCTGCACGCTCTCCGTGTCCAGGTCCGTCACCCCGAGGCCCAGCCAGTACTTGGACGCGTACCCGTCCAGTCCCATGTGCGTGGTCCCGTCGGACGACGCCACCTTTCGGAGGTACCGCAGCTTGATTAGGTATGCGCGCTTCACCTGTCATTGGGAGGGGGGGTGGCGGTGGCAATCGGACAAGTCCCACGAAT